ATACGTCGTTGTAGGGCCAGTGCCAACACTTATGTTCTCACTGGCTCTACAACAGTATGTTTCTAATCTGTCTGTAAATCAGGTACTAGTTAGTATGTAGTGCATTCTAATGGTTGGGTTTGTTTTATTTTTTTATTAGAAAAATTAGATGTAAATGCTGAAGCAGTACAGCATGTTGTGGAGGGTCTGATGTATTTATTAACTGAATGTGCCAAGTTAATGGTATGTATATCCTGTAATCATTTCCCACAATGCATATTGATCACTGAAGAATAAAATTATAATATACTCTAATAAATCAGATTTCAGAAATAGACTTCCAGGATTCCATCATGACACTTGGATTTCAGGAAGATTTGAAACAGCAGCTAGTTCAGTTTTACTTGGAAAATAGGAAAGAAATTCGTGCCATACTATGTAAAATGTCAATGGATCTTCCACATTATCACAATTTGGAATGGAGGCTGGATGTACAGGTAATGACACATCTCCAACCCTTTACATTGATTATCAATTAACTGTTCTTCAAATCATTTTTAGTTGTTTACACCACAGTCCCTAATTAAACAAGCCCTCTCAGTTGTAAAGCTGAACTACCACACAAATTTAACTACCACCAAACTACCACTGAAATTTGATGTATTGTTAATTCCTAATTTTATATTTTGTTGAGTTATGACATTTATTGCATATTTTTTTTTTGTTCTAGTTGGCCAGTAGATCTTTGAGGCACCATATCACTCCAATAGTAACCATGAAGCTACATACAGGGGATTGTGAAACAAAAGAAGTGACAGTATTACAGACAGATGCTGTGAACCTACTGCATCTTACACAAACATTACAGCAAGCTTTAGATGAAATGAAAAGTTCACATTGTAGAAGAATAGTTAGAAATATCAACAAGTAGCCTCCAGTTCTTCAATTTATTTTTTACACCATCATCTTTATAATATACATTTCTATTTCTGTATACAGCTACGGTTTGGTTGCTCAGCAACACATTCTGTAATAAAATTTTACATGAATATAGTATAAAAAGAAATCATTACAGTGAGCACTAAAAATAAACTGTTGATAAAACTGCTATCTTCCCTTGAAAGAATCTTAACAATTGTTATGACTTGGAATGTACCATTATATTTAATTGGGGTGGGGGTTGATCAAATTTGCACACTTCACTGTGTTTGAATTAGGTTTTAGTTTAAATCCATGCTTGTTAATTGCATGATATATATGACAATACATAGTGTACCTTGTACATGATGATAGTAAGTGGCAAAACTAACATCGCTAAGAATGTTCAAAGGGAAATTAGAGGGGAAGGGGAGTGCTTTTTAACTCTTATCCTGCCAGCCCCATGTACTTTTACATCGACTTGACCAGGTAATTAGTGATCATTATCATAATAACACTTTTTAAGGAGCACAATAAATATACCAGAACTGAAGTCTAAAATCTTTCAAACAGTTTGTTGAATAAATTTGAAGAAACATAATTTATCTGTATTCTTTCTGGTATTTTAGCTATGTAAAACTAGAAATAAGCATGTCACTTTTCATCGTAATGAAATTACTTATTTTATTTAGTACTTAATCCTGTTAGTTATATAGTGCAGGAATACAGGAAATTAAATAAAAAATACAGTATCACAGGAATTCAATCTTTATTCAGATCATCAAATGAATGCATGTGTATGATCAGTCACCAAAATACAAAATGACATTTATAAGGCGCCATAATGTCAATGAGTTTTACAAATCAATGACAACTGAAATATAGCTATATTTGATGGTTAAAGGGAAGATTCTTCAATGTATGTACCAAGTTTGAACATAAACCATCAATACACTATGGAGATCTGGTTTCGGAATGGCAGGATGTTGGTGACTGCCGCAACACTATGTACATGTAAAGTTTTTAAAATCAGTCTGGGAATATCAGAGGTATGGTTTTGTATAGAATTTGTTAAAACAAAATGGCCACCAGTAAACCTTTTTGAATCCATTCTAACACAAAATGACATGCATCAAGGCCTCAATGTCCAATACATGTACAAAGTTTGAACGAAATACACAATTGAGATCTGGCTTTGAAATGTCAGATATGGCTCCAGAACAGCATTCATTAAAACAAAATAACCACCAGTTGGACATTTTGAATGCTTGATTTTGAAAAAATGGCTATCAATTAGCCATCTTGAATTGGATCATGAAATATATGGGCATTGAATGTTAAAGATAAATGATGTATTTATGAAGTTTGAATTTA